AGGAAGTGGGAGACAAGCCGGCCGGGAACCCGACCAGACCATCCAGCACCAAGGCGACCATTCTTTAAAGCATTGAGAACCCCTAACAGTAAACTGTTTCGGGAAAAATGGTTGATTGCTTTCAAAAGTAATGATTTCGAGCAACACATGGGCAAATCTTTGCATGCTCAGAGTCTCACAGAGTCTCACCGAGTATTTGGGATAAGGCATCACTCCTCAAGGGGGCTCGTGTTTCTCTTTTTCTGCATCGTGGCCACACAAAGAGAACACGATATAATTTTCCCATATGTTCCCAATCACCTTTCTACGAGAAGAACTGTTCAAGAGCTCAATTTCAGATTCTCTATGATTCTAAATCCTGCGGCCACAAACCTGAGGTCGAATCTGGATCTGTGTACCATCTTGTACCTTTTATGTCCGCCGCTAGAATCTAGAAAAAGCGGGTTCAAGAGATGGAACATTATGGGACTGGTTTCTGAAATGCGATCGGATTTTCGTTCGGCCGCGGCCCATCACATCCAGATGTGGAGTGATGCAGGAGCCAGCGGAGCCAGCCGAGCCAGAGCCAGCGGACACGGAGACCGATGAAGGACGAGAATGGGACCCCAAAGGGAAGCTGGTTGAGGCTTTGTTTGGAAGTATGGTTCTGTGCAATGCTCAGCAAATTGACATTGATTGCGTGATTGATGGTGTTGGTGAAGCTTAATAATATTAAGTAGAAGCATTGCCGTCCTTTTGAACTTGAAGGAATAGCACAGGAGGCCATGAGTGCCTCCTGGATGAAGAAATTTGAGGCATCAACATCATTCAACAAGATATCAGAAACGATTCAAACAAAGTCTTGGACCAAATCGTGGTCCTTCTCCGGTTTTGCAGCCTCGCAAGGCTGCATCGGTTTGCCCTGCTCGAGGGAGAGCTACTGCAGAGGAGGGGTTCGGTCTGAGTTGATGAACCTTTCAGAGCGAAGCAGCCAGACCGCGGCCATCCGGCTGCCATTCAGATTTGAGGTGCTGATGGCCAATTTGACTGAGCTGGAGCATCGTCGCTCTGTTTCCCTGTCATCATCAGGCAAGCAGACAGGTCTAACAGCCTACGTTCTTCCTACTTTCTTGTGTGCTTGGTGCATGAGTAGCCACAGGTATGTGTATGGTCAGCCGGACTGGACAGGGTGATTTCTTGGGGCAGATTGGAGCCATGGAGGCAGAAGCGTTCGGACAGCGACGCATAACAGCAGACGGAAGAAAAGGTCTTGAAGTTTGATATGTTTGATGAAGTGTTTTGGTTTGGCAGGATGTGGAGGCAAGCGGCTGTGTGCAGGGGAGTGCGGTGAATGAGGCAGCTGAGATTAAATCAGACATTGAACTTCTGCTGATCTTCGGCACGAACAGAAGAGCTTGTCGAACCGGATCAGGCAGTACAGGTCAACAAGTTGCAGGCAGGGACTTCGCAATTGTGCTGAGCCCCTCACAGTGGAATGGTCCAAAAAACGAGACACACGCACACACAGAGCCCTTGAATCAGCTCGAATATATAGTTGTTGTTGTTCATGCTCAATAGTCCATGTTTCACTTTCCTTCCCATGTGGTGGAAGGCATTGTTCCAGCTTTTGTGGAGGCAGAAGCGATCGAAAGTCTTACCAAGGCAGATCAGCAGGCAAGGGCTGTGATATCTTTACTTTTAATTGGTGACAAGTTCAACATGTTTGCAGCATGTTGGAATGCATACTGTAATATGACCGATTGAGTGAGCCAATCAAACATTCTGTCAAATCGGACGATGGTGAAGTGGCAGCGTTGAGGACTTCATTATCCGCGGTAAAGACTGGTCAGCTCTCGCTGCTGAATGTGATGCGTTGCTGGAATCCTGCAAGAGGCCCCGCCAAACAAAACATCAATTCGTATGAATTCCTGAAGTGTCAGAAAATGTCAGAAGTCTTTGACGTGTCTTAATATCAAGGCACCAACTGTGCAAAAAACTGGACCTGTACTATTTGTCCATTGATGGTTTGGTCTATTGTTTTGTTTGGTGTCGAATACCAATATCTTGATGGATTGATGGATGGATGGGTGCTGTATTTTTGCATCTGCATTTATGCATGTTCTTTGCATTACTGTACCAAATTTGTCCCTCCAAAAGGGCTTTCTGAACTACAAGATATATTCGATGGCTTGTTTCGTCTTCAAGCCCTGAGGCCTGCATTGGAGACAGGAGGGGAGGGGGTTCCTGTTCTTTCGTGCCCAACGACTCCGTCGGACGCCCAAACGACTTGCCAGGAGCTCTCCACGCGGAGGCCACAGGGCATGCGGACACGATCAGTTGTGCGGCGACGACGGGTGACCAGTGGGGAATACCCGAGTACCATGACATTACCATCCCGACCATCCATATCCGAAACTCGGGATGGTCCAGTTAGCCAGGTAACAGATGTCGGAGCTTTGCATCATCCGGAGACTGGAGTGTGTTTCGTCTTCCACATATGGACATGCAATGGGGAACGACTGAATCAAAGACAAGCTCTTTGCTTGCGACAGGCGGATTCGATGCCATCCCCCCAGGCGGATTCACTGCATTCTATGAACATTTGCTCCACTAATGCTGATAATGTTGACAAAGACACATGCAGGAAATCGACCTTGACCTCTGAGATCAAGATTGGAGATCGATTTCACGAGAGAAGTTCCTGCGTCACTCGAGCTGGGCATGTACATAGGCAACAAAAGTTTAAAGCAGCACCCCTCAGTGCTGAACATGTAGCGGATTTACTTCAGCCTTAGGCGCCTTTGGCTGCAAAGCTACGCCTTCGGGCCACTGTTTCACCTGTTTCACCTGTTTCGAATCCGCGACATCGCATGTTTACACGTCTCAAAAGTGTTGCTGATGTCGCTTGTTTGTGTGGCTTTCCACAAATCGCTAGACAAGGAAGGGTGAGTAGCTTCGACCCCTACTGATCCTTACTGAGAAATTGACCCAGACATTGACATAGGTTGAGACAGGAGCGTTGTTCTTTTCAGACTCCACCGCTCGTGAGGCTGATACTGGGACAAAGATGGTACACCTCGGAAAGAACACCAGGCCTGCTGTTGCATAGCCGCTACTTGCATAGCTGTTGATCCTGAAATACATTCTCAGGTCCAAAATCATCTCCAAAGGCATTTCCGCTGGGCATTCCAAGAATGCGTGCCCCACGCAAACACGGTGGTGCTGAGACAGCAATGACATGACAAGCACCCCAAGCATGGGACATCTACTCCGCAGTTTTGAAGGTACAGAGGTCTGGTGGCATTTCGAGGAAATGCCACTCAGGGCAGGCACGGGACTGTCATGGGACTGTAAGTGTACAACTTGTCAAGGCCACTTCCACTGTTCAGACCAGGAGTTTCCTGTCCTTTAGTGGTGAATTATAAAATATGATATAGGTGGACTCAGGCAATGCACGCCGACACATGCGTGTGCAGAACAACCAAACCTTTGTTTGAACAGATGACATATGGCTGTGGGTCCCAAACCTCCGGGTGCCATCGGCTTGCCAGACAGGAACTTTTCACAGTGTGACTCGCTGCTGATCGGGAACAAGGGCGAGGCACACGGGGGTCGAAGAGCACGAGTCTTCCGATGCCGGCATGGCGGCCAACCACGGAAGGCCTCCACCTTTCCTTACATAGAGGCTGCTGATGGGAACAATCAGGTGGAGCATGAGGCCAGGAATTCATGAGCCAAAGCTGTGGGTGCTTTGCTTGTTCAAATCATCCAACCTTGAATGCATTCGGTTTACTTTGGCTTGTTCTCCATCGGAGCGTTTTCAGGCCACAACCTCAAGAGTCTCTGAAGAGCAGTGACTTGGCTGAGCAGATACTGAGCATGACAAGATGCTGGGCATGCGCAAAAATGTGTAGATCGCCTTCAGCCCTGCTTCGGTGATTCTTAACACCTCAGGCTCTTGTACCTCACAAGCCGGGGTCTTGCACCTGAAGAAGCTGTATCCCTCGTCATTAATGGCTTTTGTCAGGACTTTTGGAATGAGCTTTGAACATTTTGGGCGTTGGTCAACCACTTTGGATGAGCAATGATTTCGCATGGTCAACCACCGGTTTGTCTGTCTGTAAATTCGTCCTCCTCGCTGCGTCGACCAGGATGTCTTCGACCAGCTGCCCATGGAATTTGCCTCGGAGGCGAGTCGATGACTCGAAGCTCCCGACGCTCTGAACGGTCGGCTCCGACGGTCGGGGCCGCTACGGGCAGGCTCAGAAGCTCCTGTCACTCAAGCTTGAAGGTACAGTTGGATAGTCCATGGCCTGAGCTGTTTTGAGCTGGTGTGTGATGTCAATCGAGTCTTGATCAATTATGATCCATTGAGTATTGGATATCCTACTGTATTGGTTTGCTTTGCCTTGGTAGGTAGGGGCAGCATGTTGTTTGAGAATGTCCTAATATGTCCTAATCAATTATATAAACTTGATTGAATTCTGCGCATGTGGAAATCTCATGCACTCGGAGTCTGAGTTTCTTCTGTGACAGTAACAGTAACAGGCAAGAGTTTATCTCAAAGCATGTGGTTGAATCAATGTCGGCACGTTTAAATGTGAAGATGGCCAACGCTAGGCCTAGGCCGACAGCACACAAGATTTCACAAATTGTTTGCCGTTTTGTGATTGAAAAGAGTGTTTCGTTTGAAAGGGAGACACTTGCATACACATGTTCGGCGATTTGGTCTTAAGGTTTGGTAAGGTAAACTTGGAAGACCTTGGCAAGAAGTTAGAGCTACTCGACAAAAGTCTCTCCCCGTTTCCCCGTTTCGCTGTGATCACCCCCAAAATATGATAACCATTCATAATCATTTGGCTGATCTGATGGGGAAAACACTTGGAACCTGAACCAAAGGTATCCAAAGGTCAATGTCCGCAGCTCAAAGGTCAAGCAATCGCCATCAATCCAAAGCCTCCCGTCGAGTGCAGTGCGCACCACTGACAGACCCGACGGTTCAATCAACCAACTATGAACATGTTGTGTGGATAAAAACTAGTACCACTAGAAACACCAGAAGAACTCGATGCAGTTGAAGGATTGAAACATTGTGGTCAAAGGCCGTCTCACAGGTGCCGCAGCAAGCCATTGAATTTGGTGTGCTGAGCGCATGAGTCTTTTCCAGATCCAGTCCGGTGTGGAATCAATGTCCAGCCGATTTGAATGGGTCTTTATGCTCTCACGCAGACATTCTGGGCTGAAGACATGTGTTTCAAATACCCGTGTTCTACGAGCGAAACTCTCGTACCTCATTGACAGCCGCACACAAGATGTTTGCTCGCAACAGAGTCTTCAGTCAGACCCGGCGATCCGTGCCAAAAAGAATGAAACATGTGATCCATGCAGGCATTGCAGTGTTCCATAGTTTTGCTGTGTTTCGCTGTTTGAGAGATGACATGAGATGGCTGGTTGACTGAAGAAAAGAAAGAAAGGGATCCCAAGTGGCTATTTTGTTGGGATGTTGACCCACGATTGAGCCAAAGATGTCAACAGAGCAGCTCATATTCTCAAGGTCTTGACATCCGGACCACTCGTTTTTTCCAAGGGCTTTGGTGGAATCAATGGAAAAATCTTAAATTCCAAACGTTTCATTGGCTGGAACAGGTGCTTCAGACATGGGCTTATGGGCTTGTTTAGTTCAAAGGACCCATATCTTTTTCCAATGGTGTGGCGCTTGCATGCTCTTGCTTTGGCACTTTGCCAAGTCCAGAGCCAAGCCCGGAGCCCAAATCAGTGTGGAGACTCATAATTAAAGACTTGAAGAATTGCGTTTATATAGTTGTGACAAGGACCAATCATTGCATTAGCGGCCAAAACCCAGTGCACCATCACAGCTCACGTACTCCCTTGTTCTATCCAAGTTGGAGAAGACTGATGGTCTGTATGGTTAGCAATTGCTTTGAAGGCTGAGACGGGCACTCTGGCGCTTCAGAGAGAAATCGAGGAGGAGGGTGTTCATTTCAAGTTCACCTGTCAGAGTTGATACATTTTAGCAATTGCAGGAGCTGCAGCGGATCCAAATAGCCACATTTGCCGGATGCTCCGCAATGCTTCGCATGAAAGCCCTTTCCATTGTTGTACACGAGCACCGTGCACAGCTGCGGTCGACCACCCACAGCCAAGGTGGCGGAAAATGCTGCAGCAAACCAAAGTGAACAGGCGCTGGGGTCTCACGATGTGGATGTGCCGAGTGTGTGGCCGAGCTGCGTGTGCTTTTTTTGAACGGCGCCGTGGGGTAGACCCACGTTTGTGCAACTCTGACACATGGAGCAAGTTTCTGAAACTTGAGCTTAGAAGCTACTAACTAGGTTGGAGGCCATGGCTAGTAGGTTGGAGGCCATTACTACTAGTAGCTTCTGAAGCTACGAACGTAACATGTTTGCACAAATCTGACGCCTTGAATCCACCAGTCCTATGCGACAGTGTTCGGGTTCGGTGCGCCGGTACTGTATATGTTTGTCACCGAACTGCATGTGTTTTGTGAGTTTCTGCGCCGAAACCATGGTTCACCGCACAGTTCCAATTCATCCACTCTAAGTCTCATCCTGTGTCGGAGCTATGGTCTCATCCTGCATTGGCGCACAGAATGCAAAACATGTTGAACAATTGTTGGATAGAGGTATTTTGACGCTACTAGGAGCAAAGGGCATCGCTACAGTACTAGGAGCATGGACGCTACTAGGGGCTATTACTAGGAGCAAGAACCCTACTAGGAGCAAAGGGCATCGATGAAGTTTCCCAATTTCAGTTGCTAGGTGCGCTTGCTGAACAAGAGCCAGCACCTCTTTGCCGAGCTACATCCTCAGACGCAGGTTTTTCTTTGCACAAAGGCCCGTTGATTGGAAAATAAGTAATTAGCAAGGAAATATATATAACAAAATCCAATGAGAACGCACCCTGAGGTAGAAACTGCCGTTGGAAGCTATTAACCCAGCTCACGGATCACGTGATTCTTATTTCATTGTTCCGATTGCGATGAAACCACCGCTTTCAACAGGCCTTTTCAACCCCTGGACCACCAAAGAAGCAAAAACCAAAGCAAAAAAAAGAATATGATTTGGGGACTACTTAGACAATGAGACTAGTCTGGAAAAAATAAAGCAGTTTTTGCTGGTTTGTGTGGATTCTTCCAGATAAATCAAGACTAACCCACAAAACCTATCCTGGCTAGTCTGAGTGATACCAGGCCACATTCATTTGTACATGTGCTGAGCCACACCATCCTCCCTCGCATTCTGGAGTGTGAGACACAGTTCAACCGAATGCAAAGACTTGTGCATATTGTTTACCTCAGATCATGAGTTGTGCACGTTGTACATACCACGTGACAACGATGTTAGTTACAGTATCTCATAGTGTGAGATATATTGTTTGATTTGCAATCAATCAATGAAATGCCAAGATTCACATGTCAAACTAGATTATGCATATCATGTTAATATGAGAAATGCAGTGCTGTCTCAAAATGTGAACTTTTATGTAACCCACAGTCAAATTTCAGGGATGCACTGCTCACATCAAAAGACCTGATCTGTGCATAATGATGCCATGATACCGTAACGCACGAGATACTATGAGATACACGCTGCTAATCTCATGACATGAGAACTGATTTATGCACCTCATACTTTGACATACACCTGAGCTGTCTTTCTCATAGAGAGAGAGAGAGAGAGATCAATTATTGATATGTCAATCCATGAAGTGCAAAGGTGCACCTCTTAGATCATGAGAATTGACTTGTGCATATGTGTCCCATATTATGGCAAACATATGAAACATCTCATAAAGTGAGCTATATTATTCATATGTCAAAGCATGAAGTGCCAATCTCAGGGCTTGATAAACTATCTATGCACCTCATAACATGAAATTACCTCAAGATGAAATCATCTCAAGATGTCATTAAATTTGGAAAAATATCATCACTTGTCTAAAGCCGGCTTTGTGTAAGCCACAGCCCAGAAGCTCGAAATCGTGTGGGTTTTGTGTGGCATTCAGTGACACACGACTTCAGAACCACAGTACTTGTAGTTTGTAGTACGTTGACTTCTGACCGCCCTTTTACACCACAAAAGAAACCCATAAACGGAAATAGAATTAGCACCCTCAATGGTGAAAACGGTCAGCCTCGCTTGCCTCACGTTTCCCAGTCCTTTTGATCTTGCACGTGTCGCCCTGTCCTGTCGTGCGGTCCTAAGGTGTGGACCAAGATACACCTCGGCCAAAGCTGCCACGGCGAAGGCGCCACCGGTCAAGCCGCTTTTCCCATTGGGATCGAGAGACCGTGTGGTCACCGTGTTCGGTGAAACGAACTGACCTGAGAGGCGAAAGAAGAGATCTCCATGCTTGAGGCAGGCCTGAAGAATTGTATTTACTGTATCACCTTTTTTTGGATGTGGACACTGTGTTCTACATACACACTCCAAAGAGGGATCAGCAACAGTGCGAGAGACCAATCAGTCGGAATGTACCAAGCTCTTACAGAACTACAAGAGTAATCAGTCGATGTTTCGGTCAAGTGTCCGAGTTCAAGTTGCATCCGATGTGATGCGCCGGAAACGGGCGCCGGAAACGGGTTCTCATGTCGCCATTTCGTTTTGGGTCAGCGTGGTGCAAGATCAGGGTGCAAGTCATAAGCGTGTGATGTAGCAGTTGTTTCATGTTATTTCAGTAGCACTGTTTCGTTGGGCGGTGGAAGGAAAAGTAGCTACAGGTACTGGTTTAAGAAGGTAGATAGCATTCGCACAGCTGCATGAGGGCAGATGCAGTGAGAATCGGGAATGCAAAAGATGGTTGCAGAACAAATTCCAATGACTACGTCGAGTTGCAGGTGGCAGTGATGTAGCTGCGATATTGTGGCTGGCTATGTTACAATGTTGTAGGTTTCTGTCTAATACACATTACTGTAAGAGGAGTCAGAAAGCCTGCGTGAGTTGGCACTGGTTGTTGGCGGTCGCAGCTGGGGGCTCCAAAATGGCTGTGTGAACTGTAGTGTAATAACTACAAGTGAGGCAAAAGAATAGAGTAAAGAGTCCACAGAGAAAGATGTGTACAAAAGCTTAAAGAAAATGCCTTAAATAAAGGGCTTTCCAGGCATGGAGCAGCAAAGATCAGCAAAGTAATTATATGTTCACCAAAGTTTTGTACAGAAGAATAGAGCTGTACTGAAAAAAGGTGTTGATTTTTAGGAAAAGCAAAGACAAGGTGATCTTCCTGGAAGATCTCAGAAAGTAGATGTTGCACAGAGAAGCATAGAAAGTCTTACGAATGCATAGTTTGCCGCTTTCTCTTGAAAGCACCAAGGCTTGCGATTGGAACGAGAGCAAGTAGAGAAGCTTCCTTGACTAATCATTTGGTTCCTAGATGTTTAGGGAGGGAAACTTAATGCGGGGACCTCAACTGTGCGCCGCGCAGCTTGATGGTTCGAGCCAAGTTTCCCCAGGTTCATACAGCTCAAGTTTAAAAGCACCGATCGCCTAGCAGACAAGCAGTACTGTACCTACAGATAGCTACAATATGGCCATTCTGTGGGCACACTAGCATGGGCACAGATTTGATTGAGTCAGAAATATGACACAAAGACCAATATGACGTCAGATCTATTTTGCGTGGAAGTCAGGACAAGGAGGCATCTTATCTTATCCAGAACAGAACATTGATTAATGGGATTGCTGGACTATGGTGCGCAAGGCCAAGGCAATTGCCGTGTACATGGATCAGAGGTGGCATGCATTTCAAAGGACTGATCTTGCAAACTTCCTTCAAGGCACAATGCATCAACATTATCCAATGTTGACCTGTGAATGCGTTTTCTTAACTGTTTCTTTGTTCGAGCGACAGCAGGAAAAAGAACTGTGTAATGAATCGTCGATCCATCATGAGAGTTGTAACCCCAACAGGACACCATCGCGCTGTGGCAATATGATGCTGGATCATGGTGTCAGTCAAAGAGCTTGAGATGTCCTGACAGCCCCTCGGATCGGGGATGGTTCTGATACGTTCTAATGTCAGTTTTTGCAGAATGGGTGTCGTGTTGAAACCACAGTGCATCCATCAAAGAGCTTGAACAGCTGTTAGCAGGGTTGGAGGCCGTCGCTTCTAGGTTGGAGGCCATTGCTACAGTACTAGATTGGAGGCCATTCCTTCTAGCATGAGTGCATTGATTCTTTTCAGGTGAACCAGTCCTGGCATTCGTGGGTGAATTGGTGGCAGTGACTGATGGCAAAGGAGCTTCACTCATCAGTCTAGATGATGGTGAGGTCATTTCACGTTTGCACCACGACAGCGTTTGCACTTTGGGAACAATGACGACAAAGGACGAGAAAGAGGTGCTGTGCACTGGTAGCTTTCACGGCACGGTGCATGTTTGGTTGGACTGGACGAATCCCATCCTTTTTCCTTCGCAAGGAGCCAGGCAAGTCAATGTTTTGCTTGGAGTCTCTCCTGGAAGGCTTTTTGTAGGCTGTACCAATGGGGGTTACTTATGGGATTTGGAGTGTGCAGAGTGTCTCGTGTCATTTGGAACACCGGATTTAGACCCTTATGGTGATTGTGGAGATTGGTTCTCCGCAGCTGATGCGCTGCAAGCAGGCTTTTGTGTAGGAGGACGGAAAGGAATTCTGAGCATTTGGAGCTTCGATGGTCAAGCGTTGGCCATGAATCATACTGCGCACCGTGGGCAATGGATCCAAGCAATACGCTCAGCAGGCGTAGGCAAGTTTTGCTCGGCCTCACAGGACACGATCTTTCTTTGGTCTTGGTCGAATGCCAACGAACGTCTCGAGAAGAATGCCATCTTGTGGGGTCATACAGCTATCATCTCTCACTTAGCCTTTTTATTCCAGAGGCGACTCTAGTTTCCACAGCGCAGAACGGAGAGGTCATTTGGTGGGATTTGTGCAGCTTGATGGAAACAGGCTTTTGTCAGTGTCAGGGTGTGCCGGCGGGCCTGGCAGTGGTGAAGGGTGAAGCAGTATGTTTCTTGTTGGATGGCCGTCTTGCTGAGCATCATGAAGGAATCCCTTGGTCTGATCTTGTGCCAGGAATCCCTACCAGGATGCCAGGACAATTGGCCGTTTTGCGTTTTGCATGTTCCTTGAGAGCAGAAGGCCGTGCTGGTGGTCACAACAGTCTGAAAAGCGATAAGCGTTTTGAAAAGCTTCTCATACATGTCGCAAGTAAATTGAAGTTGCCGTTGCAGATTGAAGATGTATTTCAGATGGGTTCGTCTTCTCGTTCGACCTATGTGGCTGCTCCCCACATGATTCATGCACCAGCAGACATTGATATCGGCATTCGCTTGGAACCTGGTAAAATAGAGCCTGAGAGTCTTTATTCCATGTTGCTGGTAGAAACTCAAAGGGTGATAATTCCAGTCCTCTCCCGCGGATATGTCACCATTGATCAATGCTTGAGCGGCCACTCCCTTCAGAAGCATTCTATTCTGGGCCCATCGATTTGCGATCGATGTGACACAGAGATGGATCCTGGAGAAGAAACCTATCGCTGTAGCAGGTGCGATTATGATGTTTGTACCTCCTGCATGAAGACCCTACCAGCAGCAATGGACTGGACTGTCAATTGGGATTGCCAACTTGCACGCTTCGGTGTGAAGGTCACCCGGCACCTCTCCAGAGCAGTTAGTTGTTCGATTGATTTGGTGCCATTTCAGCGTGTGGGCGAAGGAGACTTCCCACAGCTTGCACTCTTCGACCGGCAGACTTTGCAATGGGTACCCAATAATCCGCCCCTCTTCACTCACCAATTCAATCTCTGTAATGAGGAAAATGCTTTTTTGGGTTTGGTTGCGACTTTGATGAAATATTGGAACTACATCCAAAGCCTGGATGAGTATGGAAAGCCACCTTTAAAGGGCATGCATATTGAGTGCCTGCTATTGGCTGGATGTCCAAAGACAGACAATTTTTCAGAAGCTGTGGCAACTGGATTTGAGTACTGTGCCGAGCATGTTTTGGACTCTGATGTGCAACCACCAGGTGGGAGTCTCCACATAGGACCGTCATACATTGAAGCAGGCCGACGGCAATATGTTCAGCGGCTGCTGCGTTCTGCAGCCAGCTTAGCAAGGTTCGCATGCAAGTCTGAAGATGCATATGCAGAAGCGTCCACAGCATGGAACAATCAATCAGTGGGTGCGTGGAGTCATTTGTTGTGCGAGTCGCGCTGGCAGGATGATGAGCATGCATATTTCTCAAGCAACCCATTTCTAGAATGGTCCAGTGAGCCGGGCTTTGACATTTTCCATCAGCCACATCCGGCAGCTCCAGTCGCAGATGAAACCACGCCATGATCGCTAAAATGAGCTGGGCCTGACACATCTTGCCTTTGAGGCCTTAATGTTCATGTTATTTCAGACTTGTGGTGTGTCACATGATGTCACATGATATTTGGACTTGTGTGATGGTCAAGATTTTTTGAACAAGCCGAGAGCTCATGCTTTTACCCCCTTGAATGATTGCGGACAGCTTGCGCAGGTCAAAGCAAACCCCACCTTGTCCTACATAGGTTTCCTATGTTTTCCTTGGTCATCTAGTTCTCATGGCCTTTGCTTTACTTTCAGTTCTCAGGCAAAGGTGAACCAAAGTAGAAGGGAGCTAGCGGCTCTTCAGGCATTCTCGCCGTTGTGTTTGCGCCATTCTCCGAGCAGCTCTCCGGGCCATGAAAGTCAGGTTCTTTTTTTGTTGAGACCAGTTTCAGCCAGAAGACCATCTTGGCAGGATTGAAATCGGTGTTCCAAGAAGACCAAGACTGATGTGAGATCTGCCCCAGAAAGAAAGCCTTGTTCTTGCCACGAATGAAACGGGATCCAACCGTACTGAGTTCAATCACTTTGTTGCAGCTGCAGAGGTCAGGGTGAGAAAGGAGGATGCGAAAGAGGAAAAAGATAGGCTAATCAAGGAAGAGGCACTTTGCAATGCTTGGGTGTTCTGCACTTAAACTGAAAGAAGATGTTGGTCAGCTTGTAGAAGGGAGATCCACAGATCACATGTGACAATTGTGGGAAAAGAATTGCGAATCAATCACAAGAAGTGACGCAAAGCGAGTGTTTTTTCAGAAGCACAAAACGATGTCCGGTAGGCTGAAAGGGAAGCTTGGGCAGCAAGAAGCAAAGCAGATGCGATACTCCCCCCAGGCTGGCAGTGCTGGCAGTGCATGCATCTTTGTGCAGTTTGCTTTCAGGAAACAGAGAGATGTCATGACATATGTCCTAATTGATTTGAACTTTTGCTGGGTGTGTATGAAGCTAGAGAGACCCCCCCAATATATTGTATATATCATATATTATTGTAAGGGCTTCGCCCGGGTGCCGCCGACCCCTTTTCAAGAGGAGTGTAGCATGTGTAACTGAAGGCGTTAGTGTCGTTCCGGTGGTTGCCCGTCTGCGGAAAGAAGATGGGTGTTCTAGCCTTAGGCGTGGCCTCGGACAGGCTAACTGTGGCCTGTGCTAAAGCCCACAAAGGTGGAGATGCCAATGCCAATAAGGTTGCACTCTGCGAGGCGCCGAGAAGCGTCTGAGGGGGCCGTCGCCTTCGGAAGCCTAGAAAAGAAGAGGCTGGCCTCGGCTGCTAGCACCGTACGTGGCAGCCCAGGCCATGCCAAGGCTGCGTGGCCTCGGACAGGCTAGCTGTGGCCT